TATGGTTGTTTTTTTGATATAATAGTTGTTGAAGCCTTAGTTGCTTCAGAAGTTGTAGTAAAAATTTCATCTTCAGATATAGAATCTAACAATTATCAAATAATTAATACAGTATAATATACAGATAATAGTATAATTATAAGTATGATTACCTTTGCTCTTTTTTTTATTTTTTTTATTTTTTTTAGTATCCTCAGGAACTGGTTAAGCAAGAATTTCCAAGATTTTTTCTTCATTATATTCCGTTTTAAAATTTAAACAGTCTCTAAGATAACTTTGGCATAGCTTTGCTTTGTTAGAAACAAAACAGTCTGAATTTGTAAGAGCAATAGGTAAGGTGTATTTTCGCAGGCTTAGCTAACTGAAAAAATTCTTGAAAGTTATGTCCTTTTCTACTCATCGTTATTGCAAAAAAGAAAAAAAAAATTTTAGATTAAAGAAAAAAAAAAGTATTACATATATACGTAAGATATTCAACATGTTTGATTTCCAAATATGCTAAATTAACATACCGATATGATGTATCCTTTAATTTTATACAAACTATCATCTAGTAACCTCTACCTATTTTTTTAAGTTGCTGTATAATCGGTTAAGTATTTATTTGTTCTATTATATGATCTACTTTTAATTGTATTCACTGAATATTAAAAAATCTTTCTTTTTTTTTTTTTTTTTTTATTTTTATTCTATTTTTTTTTAATTTATTTATTTATTCTTGATTACTGTTCGAAGTAAACCATCAATGATGATTCATTATCTCATTTTATTACCACTCTTTTTCAACCGCCAACACCTTATTTCCATACTGGTTTGCACAATAAATAAGTACATTATTTTTATCACTTTTTGGAGAGAGAATCAATTAGATATTTAATGCTAGTACAATTCTCTCTTTTATACTATTTTTCTCACAATCGATGATATATTTTTTATGCAAAATTAAAAAGTATCAAAATTAAAGTTACGTATAACAATAACAATAGTTTATTTTTTTTCTACGTTAAAACAGGTTTTAACCAGGTAAAACATATAAAAATAAGATGGTTTCAAATCTTAATTAAGCTTTGCATGCATAAACTCTAACTGATATGTACTAATACCCATCTAATTTTGTCATATCACCAGATCTGTCATATGCATAATGACCTGATAACCAAAATGACTTCGGTCATTTTTAAATGACCTGGGTCATTTGGTCACGAGTCATTTTTAAATGACCCGAAATTAGATAACTCAAATGACCAGTTATTTTGAGGTCATTTTAGGTCATTTGCAAAATAGGCAAATGACCTAGTCATTTACCATCCCTGATTTCTCATGATTTTATATGATATTATGATCTGCAGAAGTCACACCTTTTTGCAAACCACTATAACGTACGAATGTTCAAAAATTTCACATCACTAAAATTATAGAAACTATAATTATGACCCTCTGCAGTCTCGAAATCAGTAAAAATTTGGAGAATTTTCTGATTAAATGTGATTTCAAGAATTGATAATGATAAGCTTGTCAACAAAGTAACGATCATAGCTACGAGATTAGGAGTCTTTATTGTAATTTTTAATTTCTATATTGCCTTTTATGGTTTTCCTGTAAAATACAGGTTTTTGGATAAATCCATAATTGTATATACATAATTTATGTAATTGATTTTGAAATCGATTAATCGATTCCAATCTCTACACTGAATTCCAAATGAAATTTTTCAATTTTTTTTCATTAATAATATTAATAACAATACATCTGGATCTTTTGCATTAAGAGCATTGTGTTAAGAGGTATATATTTCGTCAAATAGGGTAATAAATATCTAGAGTATAGCAAACTAATTTGCAGGTTTCTTGTTATTGTGTTGCTATAACAATTAACTATTAGACGAGACCAATTTGATTCAGTGGTTTATGTTATCTCCCCTCCCACCTTCCCCCCTCACTATATATGTGAAAAATTTCAGAAAATTTTTATAATATCGTGGATCATTTCAGAGAAAAAATTTATAATAAACTCTCTCTAGCCTCCTTCCCCTCTTTTTTTCTAAGTAGGATATAACGTAAACCACTGAATTAAATTGGTCTCGCTTTACTGTGTTGTTAGATCAAATTGTGCTGATGAAATGTGAAACCTAGTTTGTCTTCTATAAATTAAACTTCAAATAATAAAATGTTGAAGATGACGAAATCGACGAAACTAGTCAAGCTGGCACATCTGTAGAATATTTACCAAGATTACACAACACTAGTCTAGTAATTTTTTTATATATATAACAAAGTAATTTTCATTTTGATATGTACATTTGAACATCTAAACTCTCCAATAATTTATCCAATTTTACCTATTCGATTTTGATTAATCCAACTTTCACTTTGGTGGTAGAATCAGTCAGTCAATCATTCCGCAACAATCGGGTAACTGACTATCAGAATACGGGCGAGTCGTTAATAAATGAATGTATTTATAATATGTGTGACTTAGGTACTTTATTATTTTGGTAAAACAGGAACTGGTTACTTCTGGAAAGCCAGAAGGCCTTTATTTATAATTGTGAACTTAACTATTTATATTGCAAAAATCATCTATATTACTAGTATTACCAATTTAGCATTATAGCCAGTATTATTAAGATCCACCATTTCACCCAATATCCTAATTGTCCAGATCCAACTATTTTGACCAGTGTTAGAAATCTTATAAGAACATTCTTTTAAATTTGAGAACATTTGATATGTTCTCTATCAAAAAAAATCCGAGAACATGATGCTGAAAAAGCATGTTCTCTAAGTATAATAGCAAAATATCTGATAATTTCCAAAAATTGGGATATCAATAAATTTTAGCGATTAAATGTTGAGAACATAAATAAAATCTTGAGAACACTAAATCAAATAAATATGTTCTCATGAGAACACAAATCTCAAACCAGATTTTCAACACTAGTTCTGACTTATCTGGGGTTTCTGCCAGATCGGGCTTTTCTGAAATTTCTGGCCATTCGGGTGATTCAAATAATTAGTTGAAAAACCAACTAGTTGACTAATTGATTGGAAATTTTTAATCAACTAATCGTTGGTTGATTATCTACACGATAAATTTAAGATGTAGAATTTTTTTAGCCAATCTGAATGGGTTGAAATGCTAAACTACCCCAATGGCACCTCGAAAAATTTTGCAATATGTGATGTACTAGCCAATCAGATTGCTAGATTAACACATGATCGACAATATACATAAATATTATACCACCTATACAAATTAAAGTTTTTTTGTAATTTTGAGCGAAGATATCTCGACAAGCACCAAGTTAATTTTGATAAACTTTTTTTTTGAATTCTAAGCATTCGTGGAATTCAAATAAAAAAAAGGTTCATTGAAATTTGCTTGATGGTTGCCGAGATATCTTCGCTCTAAATCTTAAAAAACTCAAAACATTGATTAAAACTCTAATTTTTTTTATTCTATGAGCAAAGATATCTTGACATTCACCAAGCCAAATTCAATGAACTTTTTTTTTATTGAATTCTAAGTATCTGTAGAATTCAAATAAAAAAGGTTTATTAAATTTGGCTTGGTATTTGTCAAGATATCTTCGTTTAAATTTTTAAAAACTCAACGCCTATAAATGTAGAAACTGCCAAATTTTTTCCAATGTTTGAACGAATGCATCTTAGCAACCACTGGGTCAAATTCGATGACTTTTTTTTATTTGGATCTACAGATTTGTAGAATTCAAATAAAAAAAAGCTTATTAAATTTTGCTTGATAGTTACTAAGATATCTTCGCTCAAAAACAAATAAATTTTGATAGCTTCTATTTATGGGCATTAAGTTTTTTAAAAAAAATCAAATAAAGATGTCTTGACAATCACCAAACCAAATTCAATAAAGTTTTTTAAATTTCCACCAGGTGAACTTTTTTTTATTTGAATTCTACGAATGCATAGAATTCAAATAAAAAAATTTATCAAATTTGACTTAGTAGTTGTCAAGATATCTTCGCTCAAAGTTCAAAAAACTTTAATTTGCATGGGGTATGAATAGCAATTTGGGGCACAAATAGCAATTCCCATATTATATATGTAGTATTTAACATTATTTAAATTTTGCTCAAAAATTTATTTAATGCTGAAATAGAAAGTATATTTTAATAATTTATGTTCTTAACATTCCGAAAACACTAAGAATATCAAGGTTAATATTTTATTACTGTCATACAGTTAAATAAATGCTCATATTAGTTTAAATTACTTTAGAAAATGGAATTGGATGTAAAGCAAAATTTGATTGTATAAAATAGAATTGTATAATAGGAAGAATATAGATAAATAAATAAATAGACATATTAATAGATACATATATATTATTAAGCGAATAAATGAAAAAAATTGATAGAAGTGAATAAAGCATATTTTAAAATTAGTGGTTATACAAAATTAAACAAAAACATTGAGTAATCATATTAGTTAATAAATAAATAAATTAGAATTAAATAAAATAAGCAAAATAAAAATTTAAAATTAAATATACACTATAAATCAACAAAAAGAATTTATCTAATATTATATTTTTCGCTTTTTAATTAATTCCTACCCAACTAGTTATTATCTATTTAAATTTATTCACTCAACTAATTAGTATTTGTCTTATTGTTTATCTATTTTAGCTAATTTATTTAATTAAATAAAAACATTAATTGAAAAAAAGAGAAAAGCTTTATTAATAATCAAATAGAATTTTTAGAAATCCCACATTATATTAATATCTAAAAAATTTATATATTGCATTAAGATCAATAATTTGGTTTGTTACTTTAGAAAAAAAATCATAATTTCAAATTTTCATTTTTGAAATCTAATTTATTTATAACCTAATTTAAGCAAAAAATTTGATTATTTATAATTTTGTCCTATTTAAATAATTATAAAATAGTTTAGAATTTGGTTATATTTATTAACAGATTAGCAAAAAATAAATATAAATAATATACCCAATCCAATTCATTATTTTAGATACATTGTATGCCTGTTATGATTCTTCCAAGTTCGTGGATTTGTTGTTCTATTTTTATATGATTTAACTTCTCTTACTAAGTTTTCAATTCCTTCGAAGCTTTTCCAAACTGCTTGAGCCCATTGAATATTATCAGAATTTTCTTGTTCTTGAACGATTTCTAATGCATCTTGCAATGTAGATTTATATTTGCTAAAAAGTTGCAATTGCAATGACTCTTCATCACTTCACAAGTTAGTCATGTCCTTAAAGGTATCTAAATTATATAATAAACTAATTAATTTATATAATACATATAATAATAATTACATATAATTTTATACATACCTATTTCTGAATTGTAAGGTAAATTTTCAAATGAATTTTCTTTTAAAAAACTATTTGAAATACTTTCATATAGTAAATCTACAAATGGATAACTTTCTTGTCGTTGAATGCTAAAAAAAAAAAGATGTGTTAATTTCAAAAGTAGAAGCTTGCACTAAGTGCTTGCATAATATAAAGCAACTTTTTAAAAATGCTAAACAGCTGCAAATCCAGTTTTCAGTATTTGTAAAATAAGCATTATTAATTTTTGTTTTTTGTAATACAATTCACTCTTTTTTAAAATCCTTTCTCCATGAAGGTCTTTCATAACCATTAAAATATTTATCATATTGACTTGATTATGAGAAATCATACGAGTAAGAATAATATATATTACTAAATCAATACGAGGATGAAAAAATTTTAACAAGTAATCTCGCTTGATAACCTTCTAGTGTGATTCACAAAGCATTCTAGTTCGAAATAAACAAATTTTCCCTGATACAGCAGATCATGCTCATAAAACCAAAGCTTCTCTTTGATACCAACTATTCCATAAATAGATCCAAACATGCTGTAAATCATTATTGACACAAAAATTATAAATTTCATATATCGATTGTTGCATATTTCTTCAGGTGTTAGAAACAGTTCATTTGAATTAGGAATTAAAGAATGTAAAAGCATATGCTTTTCTACCATATCGATAATTATAGCTCTTTTTTCTTTAGGGCAAAAAAGAAAATTTTTTTTTTGAATTTCATTTATTTGTGAATAGAATTCAATATCAATAAAATTCAATGCTTGATTTGCTGAATAAGAACTATAGGTAATCATTTTTGGAGGTGTATTATCTGCAAGATGCTTCTTTAGTGCTCTTTTAATATGCCACAAACAAATTTGTATTTTAGCATTTGTCCAGACTCTTCATGCAGCTGAAATTTGTGTATAATCCTTGTCTGTGAGAAAAAATTAAATATTATTCATTCCTAAATTATATAAAGATTCAAAGAATAAAGCTAAAATTTCTGTTGTGATACCATCTCTTTTTTTTTCTCTTCAACAAATAGATATGCCATTGCAAAACCAGATCCGTTAAATTGACCAATGATTGAATAAAGTTCAAATTCTAATGCATTTGTTTTATATGTAGAGTCAACAATAATTTTAATTTTTCAAAAAATGGTGTTGTAAAACCTAAATATCTAATTTGTTCAACACTACTACTAAGTACAGTTTTGTAACCACTTTCATTTAAAAATGTTTTTGCTGAATTTAGTTGATCATTATTATCACGAACATATTCTTTTTTAAGCAAAATTGACCACCATGCATGAACTTGTTTCTGTGTTAAATTAGGATGGTTACATTCTAAAATTTGATATATTTCACTTGGATTAAGGTGAAGATTTTTTTTAATTTCTTCTTTAATTATTTCATTAACACCAAATCTTTCTGGTCATTTATAAAACATTAAATGCTGAAGATGAATTGATGCACTATTTAATCTTAAATTAAGAATAATCTTAATTTGCCCATTACAATCAAATCTATCAATTGGAATTCGATCTCTTTGATACTCAATACTTTCATATTTTCTTGGTTTTTTGGCAATTGATCAGCTTTGAGAGCAATTGTATCGAATAGTAAAAGCATTATCTTTTGTTGAAGAATAACAATCCTTATAAATATAATAATAACCATCAGCATTTCCCAATGACTCAGCAATTACTTTAGATAATTTTTGTGAATCATCTTCATTTTCATCAAGTGAAATATCACATTTAAAATCAATTTTTGCTGATTCATTTTCCAAATATTCATTCGTATTAATTTGCAAGATTTGGTCATAAAGCTTGTTTGACATTTCTTTTAGTGATAAAAGCTCTGTTGCTGGTTTATATTGGAGAGATTGTTTATAAATAACAGAGGATTGAAAGCAACATTTAGAGCAATTTGTTACTTGATGTTTGGTTTTATTAATAAACTCGTGTAAAGGTAAAGTTTTATTATATTTTATATATTTTTTCATATCCATATTTTTTTTTGAAAGTTCAAGAAGAAATAAAAAAAAAAATTAACAATCGTAAATAGTATATATATAATAAATAATTACGATATTGCATAGCTGAGTTTTAAATTTGATATCGATATGCATTAAACAAAACTATTTTGAGACAAGATCAAATTTAAAGCAAATTTTAAAAACTAAATATATTTATTTTATTAATGTAATACTTAACGTTAATTTTTTATTTATTTAATTTTTTTCAATTTTTCGCTTAATATATGTATTTAATTAGCTTTTTTGTCTATATTAATTCTAGCTTTCTCATCTATTACCAATCTTATTCTTCTTGTATACTAATACTAACTTGTCTATTTATTTATCAACTTATGTAATTATAGTTCATAGTTAAATTTTATTTTACAGACTTATACAATTCTCTATTTATATTTCTATACTGTTTTACAAACCCACGCAATACAGTTACAGTTTGTTTTATATATTCAATGTATTCTATAAACTTAAAAAAGTATATATTTTAAAGTAACTAAAAATTCATTTAATAATAAATTACATTTTAATAGTATATACATATTATATAATTTTTTGCTTAAATTTAAATGATGATTTCTCAATAACTATTTTCTATATTTTGAGAAACTTTTTTTATTTTAATTATGCGAATATATAGAATTAAAATAAAAAAAATTTATTGAATTTAAATATGTAGTTGTTGAGAAATATTGATTAAAAGTTAGGAAAAAATTAACTGCAGCTTTTTTTTTATAAGTGCCTAAACTTTGAACGAAGATTACTTGGCATTTACCTGACCAAATTTGATTAAAATTTTTTATTTTATTTCTATGATATTATAAAATTGATATAAAAAATTTCACTCAAATTTGGTTAGGTAAGTGCCAAGTAATCTTCGTTCAAAGTTCAAGTATCTATAAAAAAAGAAGCTGCAGCTAATTTTTTTTTAAACTTTAATCAATATTTTTCAATAGTTACCAACCCAAAATTAACAAATTTTTATTTATTTTAATTCTATAAATTTACAGAATTAAAATAAAATTTTGAATAGATAGTTATCGAGAAATTATTTATTAAAGTTTAAAAATAAAAAAATTTAGCCGATTTTAGTTTAAGATATTACGGTTTTTTTTAAACTTCTAGTGAAAGTTTCTCAATGACTATCAAACTAAATTTAATGAACCTTTTTTTATTTTAATTTTACAATGCTATATAATTAAAATAAAAAAAAATTTACTAAATTTAATTATGTATTTATGTAAAAACCTTCGCTAGAAGTAAAATGTTTTCTAATCTATCTAATAGAATGTTGTCGATCATGTGTTAATCTAGCAATCTGATTGGCTAGTACATTACATATCGCAAAATTTTTCAGGGTGCTGTTGGGGTAGTTAAAATGCTACAGAAAACACGTGATTATTTATTATGCCAATCAAAATTATTGAAAACATGTGACTATTAGTTGCAACCAGAGACCCAGAAAAATATTGATTTATATAGTTCAATATAAATCGATATTTTTATCATACGTAGGTAAATTGACATTTTTACAAAGTTTTATGCAGTGTAACAACACCATTTCGGACAAAATTAAAAGTACAATTTGGGCTGGGAATATAACTTTGGCCACCCAGAACTGCCAGCAGGTTTCGAGAATGTTGACAATAACAAACAAACCTTTCCATTAACTTCCCGAAAAACACAAACTTAGATACTGATCACATTATTTAATGTATTTGATGTTACACCAAATCTTGAACCCTTATTGGTCAATCACGGACATATCAATAGATATTTTTTGCTCAAATAAAATTGATATTTTTGGAAAAATTTTAACTCAGCAACACTCCAGTATTGCCACCAAAATGTTACAGTCACATGACAACTTTTGTGGCGTAAACAAATCGGATTTCAAGATCAGATGTAACGTTACACGATCAGGAAAATTCAAAACAAATGTTCGCTTTGTCAAAAATCGCTTGTTTCTCAAAAAGTAGCATAAGAAACCACATTTAGTGCTTTAACAAAACGTTTTCTTTGAGCAATTTTACCTATATCTCTTACTCACCCAAACCCTAATCTAAACGAACTTAAAGAATTTTTCGATAGTCACGTGACTGTAACATTTTGGTGGCGATACTGGGGAAGATGGATCTATTAGGCTAATTAGCCGGTTTATCATTTATGCGCAAGGTTTAAGGTAATTTCAATTTAAACCAACTATAAGTATTTATTTAATAAGCTTTAGCAAAATGTAATTTATAGTACGACCGGCAAGGCATGTATGTTTATATAAACATCGATATAGTACGTATATAGCAATAATAGCATGCTATTTTCAATAATTAATTACAAATGTTATCAAATATTAACTATCATTAAAACACTAGTCAAAATTTGGGCGTTCTATAGGCTTGCTTACTAAAAAAAGTTTAACCATTAATAAATATGGAAAAATATTACTTTAAATCAATATTTTTGTTGGTTAATATTCTTACCTGCAACTACTGGTTTAGCATTTATTGGTTTAGGGAGATTTTGATATTTCAAAAGCCGACTTAAATAAATAGATTGTTTATGTGTCTGGTAGTTGAGTTGTGACGACGTGGCTTGATTGTAATTTTTGCCGGAGTTACTAATTTCTTTAACCTGCTTATATAATTCAGTTTTTTTATCGCCCAAATTATTACAAAATTGTTTCAGCGTTTCAGCTAATTCTTCTGCAGACGGTCGGTTTTGAGGTTCAGCATCTAAGCATTTATTCATCAAATCCAAAAGTAGCCTGGGAGCTTCACACCTAATTTCAGGTCTGTAACCTAGACAAATTTTAATTGCTAAATCCTCATCATATGAAATATCATGATGTGGAGGATACCCAGTGAAAACTTCTGACATGATTATTCCAAAAGAATAAATATCTGATTTTTGAGTATATTTTTCTCCATGTAACACCTCTGGAGCAACATAGGGGAGCACACCAAAAATTTCTTCAGAGCTTGATTCTTGGGATACCGGTCTGCATAAGCCAAAATCAGTAATGTAAGGATCAATCATATTTCTGTTAACTATATTTCCGGAATGAAAATCTTTATGCATTAAATTGGCTTTGTGGATTGTTTAAAGCCCTTTAACTATGTAAGCTAAAATAAATATTTTATGATTCCAATTTAAGTCGTCATATTTGCTATCTAATAACTTTCGAAGACTTCCTTGCTTTGCGTGCTCCATAACCACCATATAATTATTATCATTTGGGTTCTTAGTTAAGCCATAAATTTCAATTGCTAAATAGCCCCCATATTTATGTTGATTTTCAATCTAAAATCATAATTAGAATAAATAACACTTATTATGTAAATATACCCCCCTCAAACCCAGGTAACTGGATCCTATAACTCCTCAAACCCAGATATTCAGAACCTCCTGACCCTAAAAACCGTTAAACCTATGGTTAACGGTTATATTCCTCTTGGCCTCATATGCAGAGCCCCTGACCCGTTAAGCCTTTAGTTAACGGTTATATTCTCCTTAAAAAAGTGATATCATAACGGCCCATGTAATAACTAACGGTTAGGAGGTTCTGCATATGAGGCCGTTATGATATCACAATTTTAAGAGGAATATAACCGTTAACCATAGGTTTAACGGTTTTTAGGGTCAGGAGGTTCTGAATACCTGGATTTGAGGGGGGCATAATAAGTGTTAGTCCCTAATATGATAAAAATTTTATGATATATACTTCTTTTAAAAATTCGTGCTTTATATATTTAGAATTATCAAAGCATTTTAAACAAACATTAATTTGAGACTTTCTCATCCATTCATTCTTCTCAGCATCAAATCTCTCAATATATCCATCAGTCCAGACTGCCTTAAAAATAGTGCCAAAGCCTCCTTTAGCAAGATACTTGATATTTGTAAATTTATTAAAAGGTATCCACTCGACAATGTCTTTAAATATCTTTGCATTATGTTGAGTTTGTTGAATAAATCCATCAATATAGTTATTGCCACTTGTCCAATTATGAAATTCCTTTCTAAATCTTAAATATTAACAATAATAAATATAATAATGTATTAAGAGCTACAATTTAATGATAGTCAATATATACCGTCTATCATGGGTTGACATATTGTTAATTAGAGGCGATTTATTATTATAATTTAAATCTTTTAATGTAAAAAAACTTACTCGCTATTGCGGCGACACATAGTATGTAGTTAAAAGTTATGTTAATTTGTATTGGCATTATCGTTGATGTCTATCTGTAAAAAATTCAATTAAAAAACTTACTGACTATTGCAGTGACATGCAGTATAAAGTTAGTTTGTATTGGCATTATCGTTGATGCCTATCGTAATTTACTGTAAAAAATTCAATTAAAAAAACTTACGAGCTATTGCGGTGACACATAGTATACGTAGTTAAGGTATGTTAGTTTGTATTGGCATTATCGTTGATGTCTATTGTAAAATATTCAATTAAAAAACTTACTCGCTATTGCGGTGACACAGTACGTAGTTAAAGTTATGTTAGTTTGTATTGGCATTATCGTTGATGTCTATCGTAATTTACTGCAAAATATTCAATTAAAAAAACTTACGAGCTATTGCGGTGACACAATATATAATTAAAGTTAGTTTGTATTGGCATTATCGTTGATGTCTATTGTAATTTACTGTAAAAAATTCAATTAAAAAACTTACTGACTATTGCGGTGACACACAGTATGTAGTTAAAGTTATGTTAGTTTGTATTGGCATTATCGTTGATGTCTATTGTAATTTACTGTGAAAAGTTCACTTAAAAAAACTTACAGACTATT